CAGTCTCGTAACCAGGCTCTGATACCACTTGTTAGGCTCTGAGAGAGCCAAACTCGAGGAGAATTTAACCATGAACTAGAATGAGAACCACAACCATGGGTTTGACACCACATCCAACCCAAAACCTTAAGGCATTGGGTCTATGGATCATTCCCACTTATATGTTCCTCATTCTACTCATCTCTTTTCGATGTGGGATATTGATTCACACTTGATATCACAACAATACATCCAAGAATTAACGTGGACTCTTCTTGATATCCAAGCCACGCCTTACCACTCCCACTGGCTTTTTATCCTGGACTCACTGTCCAACCGAACCATCGACTCTGATACCACTTGTTGGGCTCTAAGAGAGCCAAATTCGGGGAGAATTTAACCATGAGCTAGAATGGGAACCACAACCATGGGTTTGACACCACATCCAATCCAAAACCTTAAGGTATTGGGTCTATGGATCATTCCCACTTATATGTTCCTCATTCTAATCATCTCTTTTCGATTTGGGATATTGATTCATACTTGTTAGGATCCAGGCGCGGAAAAACACTATTGAGATATCAAGTGCACAATAATTTAATGAGAAAACAAGTCACAAGCACGAAAGATAAACGACACATACAATATTTAACGTGGTTCGGCTCCACCATTGAGCGTACGTCCACGGAGAGAAACTTGTTCTTTATTATGAGAGGAAAACCCTATACAAGAATACAACTTGAACCCAATCCCAACTCTTGTATACCATCTCTCATTTTCCAAGAACCTTCTCTCACACCCCATGTATAAGGCTACATGATGCCCCTTGTGTCTCCTTGTGTATCCCCCGTGTCACCTTGTGTAGTATGCCAATCTATCTATTTATAGGGAACATTACTGCCAAAAAACCAAATAACAATTGGAAATCAATACTATTTCCTAAACTAAATAGAATTTCTTGGCTACTACTTCAAGTAACTAAAACCAATTAGAAAAATAGTTACTTCCACACAAAATAAGAAATCTACCTAAAAGAATTTAAGCCAATTTCCTAACAAATCTCCACCTTGGCAAAAATTTCTTTTAGCAACCATTTGCCTTCAATTACCAAATAATATGGTACCAAACTACACACCCAAATCAATACAATCCTGACACCAAATTGATTCAATCGGCAAATGAACATGCATAGTTACCCCGAGTCCAACCTCCAGTTGACTCGTGAGAAGGTGCCTCAATTCACCATCTCCCTTTGCAGGATTTCTTCTCACCATCACTTGCAATCTAGGATTCCCTTCTGTGAGTTCTAACCCTAACCATTGAGCCCAACAAGTGGCATCAGAGCCGATGATTCGGCTGGACAGTGACTCCAAGATAAAAAGCCAGTGAGAGTGGTAAGGCGTGGCTTGAATAAGAGCGGGAAAAAAAATCATGCAGACTTGCAGTGAGGCAGGGGCATGTGGGCTCTTGAGCAAGAATCGTGCACTCCAGATTGAAGTGGGCTTGATGGAGTGGATGGGCTAGGGAGAGAGGTCCGATGTGGAAGAAATTCACAATTGAGGGGGAGATTGTTGGGATATCAAGTGTGAATCAATATCCCACATCGAAAAGAGATGAGTAAAATGAAAAACATATAAGTGGGAATGATCCATAGACCCAATACCTTAAGGTTTTGGGTTGGATGTGGTGTCAAACCCATGGTTGTGGTTCCCATTCTAACTCATGGTTAAATTCTCCCCGAGTTTGGTTCTCTCAGAACCCAACAGTAAAGCATGCCATAGTTTGGTCATATGTTGATTTTCGGATTCTAAATGGTTATAGCGGGTTGTTTTCCTCACAAAAAACTTTTTGTTATCAATGATAAATCTGTGTCTATTGCCTCCAACCCTCAATCTTGAAGGCGGAATTTACTGTCTCCATGGCCACAAATTCTGAACCAAAGCGAGCCTCTGAATTTCCTTCCCCCTTCTAGGCTACACCGGCAACATTAGTCCTAGCCATCTAAAAGATACCTTACCTTATGTTACACTTCAAAAGGGAAAGATGCATAGTGCGGAATGCAGATCTCCATCTGAGCCTGAAAACTCAATTCACTTGTGAGTTTTCTTAATTTGTAGTCTGTGCTTTCTGATTCCGCTCCTAAAAGTAGCAACAACAACAACAACGTTATCATCAACAACAGGTAGTGAGAGAAGTTAAGATGGCTGAACCTCACGCTGTTGGACTCGAGAGTTTGGGTGGGCTCCTAAGGAAAGCAGATAGATTCACTGAGAAAGGAGATTATTTAGCAGCATGGCAGCTAGACTGGGCGTTAAGGTTCATCTCCGCGACTTGATGGAATCATTGGAGGAAATTCAAGCTTTACAGTCCGCTGCTGATCAGATGAAGATTTCTGCTTCTGCAGCTTTGAAGGAGTGGTTCAATTGGCTTAAATTCTTTTAGGTAGATTTCTTATCTTGTGCGGAAGTAACTAATTTCCTAATTGGTTTTAGTTACTTGAAATAGTAGCCAAGAAATTCTATTTAGTTTAGAAAATAGTATTGGTTTCCAATTGTTATTTGATTTTTTGGCAGTAATGTTCCCTATAAATAGATGGGTTGGCATACTACACAAAGGCACACAAGAACACACAGGGAGACACAAGGGGTATTTTGTAGCCTTATACATGAGGTGTGAGAGAGAGTTCTTGATAGATGAGAGATGGTATACAAGGGTTGGGTTTGGGTTCAAGTTGTATTCTTGTATAGAATTTTCCTCTCATAATAAAGAACAGGTTTCTCTCCGTGGACGTAGGCTCAATGGTGGAGTCGAACCATGTTAAATATTATGTGTCGTTTATCTTTCATGCTTGTGACTTGTTTTTTATTAAATTGTTGTGTATTTGATATCTCAATGTTGCTTATTCCGCGTTTGAATCCTAACAAGCTGTTGGGCTCAGAGAGAGCCAAACTCGGGGAGAATTTAACCAAGAGCTAGAATGGGAACCACAACCATGGGTTTGACACCACATCCAACCCAAAACCTTAAGGCATTGGATCTATGGATCATTCCCAATTATATGTTCCTCATTCTACTCATCTCTTTCCGATGTGAGACATTGATTCACACTTGATATCCCAACAATCTCCCCTTCAATTGTGAATCTCTTCCACATCGGACCTCTCTCCCTAGCCCATCCACTCCATCAAGCCTACTTCAATCTGGAGCATACGATTCTTGCTCAAGATCTCACATGCCTTTACCTCACTGCAGGTCTACATGATTTTTTTTCTCGGTTCTTATCCAAACAACACCTTACCACTCCCACTAGTTTGTTACCCTGGAGTCACTGCCCAGCCAAACCATCGGCTCTGATACCACTGTTGGACTCAGAGAGAGCCAAACTCGGGGAGAATTTAACCATGAGTTAGAATGGAAACCACAACCATGGGTTTGACACCACATCCAACCCAAAACCTTACGGCATTGGATCTATGGATCATTTCCACTTATATGTTCCTTATTCTACTCATCTCTTTTCGATGTGGGACATTGATTCACACTTGATATCCCAACAGTTCAAAATGGTCAACGAGCTAAATGCCATGGCGGATGAACTGCTGGATGGGTTTGCATACGAAGCTCGCCAGCTCGGAGCTGTAGATGGCCTTCAGGATAAGAAGAAGTGGAACAAGGTATGTAACTTCTTTTCTAGCTGCAACTCATCGTGATCGGGAGGAGGAAGATAGTTCACGGGATCAAACTCGAGAGTTTAAGATATTGATATTTACCCGATCAAGGGCACAGGTTTGGGCTTTATTCGCAAATACGCATTGTGAATGCAAGTATGCAACTGCATAAGTCGAACAAATCCAGCCGACTGCTGATCCATTTTCTGTAGAATCGCAAATGTTCAAAGGAGGTGTTGATTCGCTGAAGCTGAAAGAAATGTTGCTGAGTGCTGGAAATGACAGGGACTTTTTCTTCGTTAGCATGGTGGGAATGGAGGGCATTGGCAAAACAACACTTGCTCAGGTAGTTTACAATGATTATGATGTGGTTAGTCATTTTGATTTGAGGATGTGGGTCTGGGTGGGGGAAGACACTAGTATAGATCGGATTTTGAAATCATTATTAGAATGTCTCACCTACATCGTCCTTGACAAGATGTCTGGCAGGGAAGGAATTCTGTTGAAACTTCTAGACAGGCTGAAAGGCAAAAAGTATCTGCTTGTCCTTGATGACGTTTGGCAGGAAGATCCCCAACTGACAAGTCCACTTAAAAATTGTTTGTTAAAGTTAGGTGGTTCAAGAGGAAGCAAAATATTGGTAACTACTCGGTCAGAACGAGTTGCCGGTTGCTGCAACCCGGATTAAGCTATCTCATAAATGTTCAGCCAGAAGAATATTGCTGGAAATTGTTTCAGCAAATAGCATCTGCACAATGTGGACCAGAAATGACCCCAAGACTGAAGGAAATGGGTGAAGCGATGGTAAGAAGATGCCAAGGTCATCCACTGGCGATAAAAACCATAGGAGGTTTGTTGTACACTAAGAAAGGTGATGAAGAGTGGAACAGTATAGCTACAAGTGAAACATGGGATTTTGATCCTATCCATTGTGCCTTACGCTTATCCTATATTCATTTGCCTTCAATATCGTTAAAATGTTTCCTTTATTGTTCTATTTTCCCAAAAGGATCTGTCATGGAAAAGGATGAACTTATACAACTCTGGATGGCGCAAGGATTGGTTAAACCATCCCAAGGAAGTCATTTGAGCATGGAAGATTTAGGAGCCTGGTATCTTGATGTTCTTGTGAGGACATCATTTTTGGAGAATGCCAAACAGCATGAGGTTGGTAGGAGAAAATCCTACAAAATGCATAATCTTTTGCACTAACTTGCTTCATACTTATTAAAGGATCAATGCTCGATTATGAAGGGAATCAACATTGTAGCCAATGATCTCAAGTTGGCTGCACATATACATGTCCCTGATTAATTGCAAAGCAGAAATTTTGAAATCCTTGAGGGAAAGAGAATGCTTAGAACACTCTGTTCGGTGAACTGTGCATACACTACTTGTCTTCGTGTCTTAATTGTGGTTAATTCACTTGTTGATGAACTGCCAGGTTCGGTGAGCGACTTAAAACTTGTACACTATCTTGACATCTCGAACACCGAGATTCTAAAATTTCCAGATTCAATTTCAGAACTATACAATCTGCAAACCTTGAGACTCTATGATCTGATAGAGTTGCCAAAGAATTATGAGAATCTGGTCAGTTTGAAAGACCTTTATATTGAGAGGTTCGAGGGCTTCGACAGACTGAGTGCTGTGCCTCTTCAATTTCGAAAGGTAATCAATCCTTCTTCTTTTAAAGCATGCTTTAAAGCATATCTACACTGCAAGTGTCCGATTGAGAAGTTAGACACGTTATTGGAGCGTCCAGATTTGTGTTATCATTTCAGCATTTACCGCCTCGAGAATGTGGATCGCTATGAGGAGGCCACCAAAGCAAAGCTATCAATTATGTCAAAAACAGAATGCTTAAGGCTTCATTGGAAATGCGAGGAGGGAAAACAACAATGATGAAGAGGTTTTGGATGGTCTTCAACCTCACGAAAACATAAAAAATCTGGCAATTGAAAATTACAAAGGTTCAACATTTCCTCTCTGGATGGAGAATACGAGTCAGCCACTGATACTTCACCATCTTGTGAAGATGGAGTTGGAGGACTGCAGCTGTTGTAAACAAGTTCCGCCACTGGGTCACCTTCCCTGTCTCAAAATTGTAAAGATGCAAGGGATGGTCAATGTTGAAAGTATTGAGGCAGACTTCTATGATTTTACAAATGTTCATGATCAATGCAGCACCAATAGCAGTGCAAGTCAAGTTTTTCCGCAATTAAGAGAACTCACACTAAGGGAAATGACAAGTCTAGAGAAGTGGTCCAAACCTGCGAATCTGTCGAATCATTCTTCAAGTGTCTGTCCTCTTCTGCAGAAATTTCAAGTTGACCAATGCCCCAAACTGAAATGTCTCCCAAATGTAATGACTACCAGTCATAGGCTGAGAAGGCTAGAGGTTGCCATGTGTGACAGTTTGGATTCCCTACTAGAAGGAGTTGGAGGACTTGCGTCACTCGAGGATTTGGATATACGTCGCCTGCCATCTCTGTCTCAGCTGTCTATTGGATGTTTTGACAGCCTCGAGACTTTGACAATAGGTGACTTATCTGGTGCTCCAGAGTTTGACTGCAACGGCCAACCCGCTATTGGCTTTCGAACCTCTTGACTTTTGAAAGGAGGGGACGGAGAAGTCGCATCTTTGCCTGAGCAACTCCAATATCTCCCAGCTTTGAGGTTTTTGATGATATCGGGTTATGGTGGGCTGGCGACTCTCCCAGAGTGGATTTCTAAGTTACATTCCCTTCAGATTCTGAAGCTTGAGTTTTGTTGGAAGCTTGCGCATTTCCCAGCTTCAGAAAAAATGCAGCAACTTAAGCATTTGGATGAGCTTGATATTTGTTATTGCCCCCTTCTGGAGACGAGGTGCACCAAAGGAAGCCGCCCAGAATTGCACAAGATCTCCCACATTCCTAGAATTATTGTAAATTCTGAAGAAATCAAATTTCGCTCACGAAATAAGAATAAAAATGTAAGCCGCTTTTATCCAGTACATCTTCTCTATTAATTTACTGAAAAGACCCCAAAATTCACTTGCATGTCCCCCATTCCTTCTCTCTTTTTATTGGTTTTTTCCTTTTTTCAAGTTTTGGTTTCACCAGATGGTCAAATTTTCTTGGATTTAAATATGGGGAATACCTGATCTCGGGCCTCTTTTATCCAAAAAAAAAAAGTATTTTTTTATAAAACATTTATCCCCTATCTTAATTATTAATAGAATACTATCTATAGTATTAATCTTATTTTGGTGATAGGCTACGGAGTGTGGGATAAGGAAGTTGTGTGTTTAAACAACCACAAATCAAGAATAAATTTCCTTCATTTTGTTTTCAGACAACCAACACACAAACTCGGAGAAATAAAGAGAAAGATATTGAGGAATCTGGGAATGACAGGTGCTGAACCTGTGCAATAATAATTACTAAAGAATCCTAATTACCACCACAATTAATTATAGAACAAATTCAAATACTGGAGTAGAGACCCTAGATGTGCAATGGGTTACTTGATTCACCCTATTCTCGAAGAGTTGGCTTGATCCGATATACCAGATTTGTCCATAAAAAATATTAATTTTGAGTACAATGACAAGTAGGGTCGATTCCACAGGGAGCGGATAGAAAATTATTTCTTTTCAAGTCAATAGAATAAAAATTGGGGGATGATTAAAAGGATGGAAATGAAAATAAAACAAATAAAATTCAAAAGATAACTCCACAAATACAACTTACTAAAAATAGCAATTAATAAAATTCTACCCAAAGGATCAACTGTTCAGGTACGGTCTAATTAAATGATCATCGATGCAAAGATATTTCATTCATTGATCACTAGGTTGGCTATAGCTATCAACAAACTCTGACAGCCAATTCTTCCTTACTTTTTCGACAGTCAAGGTACGACCATTGACTGTTTCTCTAACCAGAAAACAATTCTAAGTCCGACCGTAGGAATTTAATTATCCAGTTGCATTAAAACTAAAAGAACCCAACTCTAACCAGTAAACACGCTAAGAGAGTCTATTTAAACTAGATCTTACATTTTTCCAACATAAATCCAATTATGGTGGTTGTCACTAGGTGTCAACTAAACGAACAATTACAGATTCAATTTAATTAACGTGACAGTAGGCTATCAAATTAAATTAAATATCTGGCCATTGATATTCAATTAATAAAATACCCATGAACAATTAATCCAAGAAACGCACGAATAGTAACAAATTGGAAGAAATAATGAAAGTTTGATTAGATCTCACAAATGTTATGGATCGCGCCCTTGCATCAATCTTTGGGTAGAGGAGAAAATTAGCCGCTCCTCATCGTGTCAATCCCGTGTGATTTAATTGAATTCATTCAATTAATTGCCGAAGAATTGGGGAAGGTGAATTAATTGAAGAAACAACAGAGAAGGCTCTGACTTCGCCTTCGTTTTGGAGCCGCAATTACAAAGCAAAAGGCTAACCAAAATTGTCCAGAGCAAGGGTTAAAAGTCAAAAGGAAAAAGACGTCTGGCCTATTCTAATTGCTATTGAAGAGAAGAAAAAAAAGGTGAAAAAGCGTCTGACGGTACAAAAACAAAAGCTAGCCTAATTAATTTCTACCTAAAAGGAAGCAAACGTCTGATACTATAATTGAAAACCAAAGCCAATGTCCCTATTAGACGTGAATCTGGCCTTTTTATATTTTCAGTAGCCACCGCAGGAGAAATCCACCCAAAAGTCCTCTTCAAAGCTTCTCTTTTGGGGTATTAATCCCATGTGTCTGATCCACGTGGATCACTTTTGGTTTCCTGATGTTTCACTTGTTTTGCCAATCCCGCGGGTCTGGCTTTTAGGTGTAGCTCTTCAGTTTCTGGCGTGGGCACACCATGAAATAGAGAGTCTTTTGCAAATTTGCCTCGTGAAAACACTTTTTACACCAATCACCTACAATTCATACAAATATGAAACATGAGCAACATCTCAATACTTAGCGCGGTAAGTAGCCAAAATTAGGACAAAATAACAGTGTAAAATGTGCCAAATAATTACTCTATCAAATCCCCCCACACCTAGACAATACTTTTTCTCAAGCAATTTGAAACTCAGAAGCACAATCAAGGTAGCCACGGTATCAGAGTCGTCTATACTTAACACAAACATCTCGCATCCCCGACAATATTACCAAAATTAGAACACACCGGACAGGTGGTAATTCAAAGAAAATGTATGAATACTAGGACCGCTCAAATCAACACCACGGAATGGAATTACCATAGGCTTGCACATTTATAACATCTCCACCACTGAAAAGTGAACTAAATACACAAATCAAAGAGACTTTAATAGGGTTTTAATGGGGTTTAGGTAAAAGACGGGATAAGAAGGTGAAGATAAGGTGCAATGTGTCAGTGAAATGTCTGATATCCATCACATAACCACAATGCTTCACCGGGAGAATTCCACAAATAAGACAGTGTCACTTGCTGTACATACTGTGCAAGTGCCGCCAAAATTTTTTATTTTTTTTTTTATTTTTTTTTTTGGAAGAATGTCTCGCAAAGCGTGGGCACGCCCTGTAAGTCAGAGTCTTCTGATCAGCAGCTTATTGTCGATTTCTCCCTTTTTTTTCAGATGCACAAAGATAGTATCATACAGATTCTACTCTAACAGCACTTGCGACCCCAGATTTAGTTGCCTTGCACAAAAGATGGAATTCAAACATCTCTTGATAACACGGGGGTGAACAAGAAAGTCTAAAGAAGTCTTGGGTTATCAATATGGCTGACAAACAACTTGACGGATAAAAGTTCAAATTGGTTCACTATTGGAAGATAAGACGAGGGCTTGATTTTGAGATAGTTAAAGAGGGTTAAATCCTAAATGCTCTTATCATTTCAAACGCATCCAATTCAACAAAATGTAGTCTCGACATGTATAAAATAGCAAGTTCTAGAATGTCAATACCATGTGTGATACCCATTCAATCCAACAAAAATAGAGCAAACAAGAACAATGTGCTCATGCATGGCTCAAAAGCTCCCAAATTACAAGAATGAGTCAAGTCCAGCACATTCAACATTCAACGACATTGCCAAGGGAAGCAAAATGCACAGCTAGCATATCTGACCACATACCCATGCACCATGAGTGTACAATTCATCATAGCAGCATGCTCTAACAGTTAAGAAACGAAGCAATATAAAGAAAGTCAACTAACTATACCCCCTCTTTTTTTTCTTTTCCTTTCTTTCTTCATTTTTTTTTCTTCTTTTCTGGTTGTTCCCATTTTTTCTTTTTTTTTTTGAATAAAAGGAAATAATGGAAGTAAAAAAGAAATAATAGCAACCATCCCCCCCACACCTAAAATCTACATTGTTCTCAATGTAGAAATGACTGATGAAGTAGTAGGGGATAAGGAGAGAAACTTCCCTGACCACCGAGAGAAGGCACCGAGACACTAAGGCGGAGAAGGATGAGGTGGAGTGAAACCAATGTGAGCGAAGAAAGTCGCTTGATTCTCTGCCTGAATATGGGCGAAGACTTGTAGCGCTGCAAGACGGCCATCTAATCTAGACACTTGGGTGTTTAGCTCATCGAAGGAATCTTAGAGGTTCTGGTAGCGGGAGTCCCAAACAATAGGATTATGATAGGAGGACGGACCCGCCTGATCCGGATGAGGTGGAGAGTCAGTAGAAGGAGCAGTCGGAGGAACCCGGGGTTGTGGCCTGCCCTCGCCAGGGGGCGTAAACTGATAGACATCGCTTACTTTGAAAATAACCCCCATTTGCTCCAACCTACGCAAATCCAAGGACTCAATTTCCCGAGCAAGAGCGAAGTTGTGCTCTTTGTCGAGATCCAGCAATCCCAGTCGAATAACCAAGTGAGTAATGAGCGAGCCCAGAATCAACGATTTATTGCGCTTTTGAATGACTGACTGCATTTGAGTGGCCACCCAACATCCAAAGTTAACTTGAACTTTGTTTCGCATGCACCAAAGAAAATAAAATTCCGCCTTGGTAAGAGTGTCGGAGGAATCCTTCCGCCCCGAGAAATTGTGAGCCAAGAACCTGTGGATGACCTTCAAGACCGGATCCTTCAGATGAGAGGCTTTGGACTGACTCGGATTGTAAAGTTGCCGATCCGTGAACCACTCCCTCCAAATGTCAATATACTCAGTAGAAAACAGTCTGGTATAGTCACATGCACTGTTAATATATGCTCCGGATGCAATGGTATCCTCACTGACAAACTCCAAAGTCGGATTAAACTCATTAATGGACATACTATACTGGGTGCCTTTTAATTTGAATTGAATAATCTCCGGCTCATCCAAAGTGATGAATTCATTTCTGGTGAACTCGAAGGTGGAGTAGAATTCACAACATAACTCCTCAAACGTAGGGTAGTCAATAATTAGATACTTTTGCCAACCTATTGCCGAGAACAACTGTTCAACTTCTCGTGCAATTCGCAAATGGTCCAGGGTTGAGGCAAGGAAGCACTTACAAGGAGCAAAAGAACGGTGCACCAAACTATTAAATCGGTCCTGCTATGCCCTTGTAAGATTAGTGACCGGTTCCTCCCACTCTCCAGGAGACATAGTGCTCTTTTGCAGGTCCAAACGGGACCGAATAGGGGGTTAAACCGGGGCTCGCCTCTTACGAGGTTGGGACCCAGACGGCCCAGCAGTTGTTGCTTTTTTCGGAGGCATTCGGGGACCACAGATAGAGTATAATCAATGACAGAGATAGCCAATCAACCACCCACAAGAGGACAGGGGATCACAGCCAACAAATAATGCTCAATAGTCAGCGGTCGAAGAGCAAAAAGGGAGCACAATTACCCCACCAAATGACGACAAGGCAACAAACACAAGAATTTCCCAATGGCGGCACTTCACAGACAACAATAAAGAAAACAAATCCAACACCTCATAAATTTCACTAGCAGTCAATAATAATCAACAATCGGCTAGTTACTGACCATGTGTACCAAAATCAGATTCGCCAGAGCCCATAGATGTAGCAAATCCCAATCTGAGTCAAAGACAGCAATAAAATTCCAAATGCGAAGACCAATTGACCAAAAATTTGGTAAAATAGGGGTACCACTTTTATTTTCTGGTCCACGCTGGAGGAGGCCATGGAGGTGACGCACGGCGAGGGGAAAAGAAGCCCAAGGGCAGCACGCCGCGACTGCAGTGGTGCGTGACGAAGGCGCGCGGCGGTTGAACTGGGCAGGCCGCGCGCGCTGTGCTGCTGAAGGGGGTACCGCGCGTGCGAAATGGAGGCTGCTGGCTGAGTGGGAATGTGCGGCTGGCGGTCGTGCGAAGGTGGAGCAGGCGCGCAGGTAGTGCTCAGGGGGGTCACGCGTGTGAGAGGGAGGAAGAGCGCGCAGGTAGGTCGCGCGCGCTAGGTTGCTGAGAGGATGCGCACTGCTGGGGCTGCGCGCTGAGGGTCCCGCGCCTGCGTGAGCTGGGAGCGCGAGGTCGCGAGCGCCTGGCAGACGTGAAGAGCAGGACCGCGTGCTATTGGGCGCGCGCGGGGTCTGAAGGGAGGAGGGGAAGGCGCATGCGAAGGAGGAGCAGGCACGCAGGCAGAGGGTGTCGCGCGGACTGGTGCGCACTGCTGGGCATGGCTGGGCCCACAAGAGGTCGCACGCGCTGGACACGAGATGGGGGACGCTGCTTGCGCCGTGGGTGACCAGATCTGGTAGGTCATGCGAGGAGGAGGGAGCAGCAGCGGTGGACAGCGATGGAAGGTGGCGGCAGTCTTCACAGGGACAAGAAGAAGGCTGCTGAGATGAAGACTAAGGGGTTGGTAGGGAACTAGACAAAACTAGACAAGGAGAAGAAAGAGTGGAAAAGTAGCGTCAGGGTCAAAAAGTCTTTTTTTTTTTTTTACTTTCATTAGCGGAGGGGTAGGAGGGCGTGGGCACCTTGGAGAACATGGTTTTCTGCCCAACGCCTTGCGACTGCCAGTCTCCAATCTGCTCAGGGCACCTGGCACACCCCTTCCAAGGCGTGGGCACGCCTTGGAATTGCTAGTCTTCTGTCCATCACCACAAAAACAATCAAAATAGAAAAATAAAACTGAAAAATTACAAAGTAATGAAAAATGATCCCAACTAATACTGTAATCCTTGGGTTGCCTCCCAAGCAGCGCTTTTTTTTAATGTCTTTGACTAGACATGGCTATCAGCTGTTTAGGCCTCAAGATCTGGATCATCAAGAGATATAACCTCCACTTGCTCACTATTAAACCCCTCTTAATAAGGTTTCAAACGGTGACCATTGACCACGAACTTCTTCTCCGTCTTGAAACTTTGGATCTCCACTGCGCCATAATGAAAAATATTAGAGATAACAAATGGACCAATCCAACGCGAACGCAACTTACCCGAAAAAAACTTAAGCCTCGAGTTATAAAGGAGAACTTTTTGTCCTACGACAAATGACTTTCTAGAGACCTGTTGGTCATGAAAAATTTTACTCTTCTCTTTATAAATTGCGGCGTTCTCATAGGTTTCATTCCTTAGTTCCTCCAACTCCTGTAATTAGAGCTTTCTATGTCCTCCGACCTCCATAAGATCCAAGTTACACCGCTTGAATGCCCAGAACGCTCGGTGTTCAAATTCCACTGGAAGGTGACACGACTTCCCAAAGACTAACCTGTATGGGGACATCCCAATCGGTGTTTTATATGCAGTGCGGTAAGTCCAAAGAGCATCTTCTAACTTCAAACTCCAGTTCTTTCTATCAGGCCGCACCATTTTCTCTAAGATTGACTTGACCTCCCTATTTGATACTTTGGTCTGACCATTCGTCTGTGAATGATAGGGAGTGGACACTTTGTGGAGCATGCCATACTTATGAAACAACGCAGCGATTGTCTTATTACAGAAATGGGTGCCCCTGTCAGTCACTATAGCTCTCGGCATTCCAAAATGGACAAAAATGTTAGATTTAATAAAATATGCAACCACTCTCGAATCATTAGTCCGGGTGGCCTACGCCTCCACCCATTTGAAAACATAATCGACAGCTAGGAGAATATATGAGAAACCATAAGACGAGGGGAAGGGACCCATGAAATCTATACCCCAAACATCAAAAATCTCAACAAACAATATGGGGGTTTGACTCATTTGGTCTCTACGAGAAATATTCTTTACCCGTTGACACTTATCACAAAATTTGCAGAACACATATGCATCCTTAAAAAGAATAAGCCAATAAAAACCGCTCTCTAACACCTTACGAGCTGTTCATTTTGGCCCAAAGTGCCCCCACATGCAAATGAATGACAAGAATTCAAAATAGAATGGAACTCACCAGCACTTACACACCTTCTGATCACTTGATTCGAGCACTGCCTCCACAGGTAGGGGTTATCCCAAATATAATGCTTGGCATCACTCTTCAGCTTATCTCGCTTAGCCTTTGGTCAACCTGCAGGCAATTGATTCGTTACCAAGAAGTTTACAATGTCGGCATACCATGGTACAGATGAATCAAGGGCTAACAATTGCTCCTCGGGAAATGACTCTCTCAACGGCAGATCTTCCTTATTCGTGAGCAATCGGCTCAAATGGTCAGCCACCAAATTCCTGACTCCACTCTTATCCTTGATTTCTAAATCGAACTCCTGCAGGAGCAGGATCCATCTAATGAGCCTCGATTTTGCATTCTTTTTCGCTAACGGGTACCTCAGAGCTGCATGATCAGCGAAAACAATTACTTTCGCACCCAATAAATATGACCTAAAATTTTCTAGTGCAAAAGCAATAGCTAGTAATTCTTTATCCGTCGTGGAGTAATTAAGTTGGACTCCACTCAATGCTCTCGATGCGTAGTAGATCGCGTGCGACGCTTTTCCAATTCTTTGCCCCAATATGGCCCCTACGGCATAATCACTAGCGTCACACATTATTTCAAATGGTAGGCTCCAATCTGGTGGTTGAATGATGTGCGGCGATATCAACGACTCCTTTAATTTATCAAAGGCTACCTTGCATTCACTAGTGAAGTTAAAGGGTACGTCCTTCTGCAGTAACTTGAATAGGGGTGCTCCTATCTTTGAAAAATCTTTGATAAATCTCCTGTAAAATCCTGCATGCTCAAAAAAGAATGCACTTCTCCTACACACATGGGGTAAGGTAGAGCAGAAATAAGGTCTATTTTAGCTTTATCTATCTCTATTCCCTTGGCCGACACAACGTGCCCTAAGACAATACCATGCTCGACCATAAAGTGACACTTCTCCCAATTAAGAATCAAATTCGTTTCTATGCACCTTTTCAGAATTAAAACTAAATTATCAAGACATTCCTCAAAACTATCTCCGTATACGTTAAAATCATCCATGAACACCTCAATTATCTTCTCCACATATTCTAAAAAAATACTTACCATGCACCTTTGAAAAGTTGTTGGAATATTGCAAAGACTGAAAGACATCCTACGGTAAGCAAACGTACCAAATGGGCAGATGAACGTGGGTTTTTTCTGATCCTCCGGTGCTATCGCAATCTGGAAGTATCCTGAAAAAGCATCCAAAAAACAATAGTAAACACGACCAGGCAACCTTTCAATCATTTGGTCAATAAAAGGGAGAGGAAAATTGTTCTTTTTCGTCACAGAATTTAGCCGCCGGTAGTCAATGCACTGACGCCAACCTGTAGCTTTCTTGACCGGAACCATGTCACCCTCCTAGTTCTCCTCTACAGTCACCCCCGCCTTTTTCGGGACCACTTGAACAGGGCTCACCCAAGGGCTGTCCAAGATAGCGACGATGATCCCTACCTCCAAGAGTTTGAGTATTTCTTTTTTCACAACCTCCATCATTAAGAGGTTCAATCTCCGTTGTGCCTGTCTCACCGGCTTTGCATCGATCTCGAGTCTTATTCAGTGCATGCATAAGAATGGACTTATCCCTTTGATATCTGCTATACCCCACCCGATCGCCTCCTTATGTTCCCTAAAGAGTCGCACTAGTCTGTCCTCTTGACTTGGAGATAAATGGGCAGAGATGATCACTGAAAGCGTCTCCCGATCTCCCAGGATTGCGTACTTCAAATGCTCCGGAAGAGACTTAAGCTCTAACTCCGGCGCCTGCACAACTGAAGGAAACAGTTTTGTATGAGTTTCCGGCACAAAGAAAGAAGTAAACTCATACCTTGGAGAAACAGTGGGTAGTGAGTGTAAGGTTTCAACAGCATGGTGCAACTCATTCCTCATGTCCACATCAAGAGTTACACCCAACTCAAGATACTTGATTAGAGCCACTTCCAATGCGTTTTCGCCATCTAATTCGAAAGTTTCCTGCACAAAAGACTCAATAACACTCAAAGCAAAGACTGAGTTAGATTCCTCTGGATACTTCATCGTCTCAAAAATATTAAAATTCATAGTTTTTCCATCAAATTCCATTGATAAAGTACCCTCATTCACATTTATCTTGGTCTTGGCAGTGCTAAGAAACGATCTAGCTAACAAGATAGGCGACAAATTTAACGACTTTTCATCTCCCATGTCCAGGATATAAAAATCTGCGAGAAAAACTAATTCATTCACCTAAACCAAGACATCCTCAACTAGCCCCTCAGGGTAAGTATTAGTGCGGTCGGCTAGTTGGATTATGATGACCATTTCTTTAAGGGGTCCTAGATTTAGAGATGTATAAATGGTTTTTGACATCACATTAATTGATGCCCCTAAATCCAACATGGTCTTCCTGATCGGCGTATTTCCAATCTTACAGGGGATCGTAAATATACCTGGATCCCGACATTTGGGTGGAAACTTTTTTTGGAGTATGGCTGATACGCTTTTCCCCATGGCTACTCGTTCATCCCTTCTCAACTTTCTTTTATGGGTGCACAAGTCCTTGAGAAATTTCACGTATTTCAGTACTTGCTTGATTGCATCCAACAAAGGGATGTTGATCTCCACCTTTCTGAATACGTCCAGGATCTCTTTCTCCTTTTCCGTCTTCTTCGCCTTCTCTAACCTGCATAGAAAAGGGGGTAAATTAGATTTAATGGGCACAGATGGAGTAAGAGTTACCTCAGGGTTGCCACGGATGCGTCCTTCTTCTTTCATCTCGTTTTCGATATCATCTTCATTCTTGCTGTTCAGGTTTGTGGCCTTAGGCCCCTCCACCTCTTTGTCACTCCTTAATGTCATGGCACTTACATTCTTGGGGTTTGCCTCAGGCTGTGAAGGCAATTTCCCATAGACGTGGGACTCCAGGCGATTAATGGCAATTGCCATTTGACTCATTCGAATCTCCATATCTTTCATGCCTGCTTTGGTGTCCTGTTGAAACTGAGCAGTACTCGTGACCAAGGACCTAGTCTCTTGCTGGAGTTGAGCAGTGGTCGTGGCCAAACTCTTGAAAATTTCCTCCAAAGAACTTCCTGAGCTGGAGGACGAGGGGTGAGACTTTTGTTGCCACGGTTGTTGGATTCCTGGTGGACGATTGGAGAATGAATTCTGTAGCCTATTACCATAATTGAAATTAGGGTGGTCTCGCCAACTCGGATTGTATGTGTTGGAGTATGGATCGTACCATTTTCGAGGCGCGGGCACGCCTCCAGCCATGTTCACTTGTTCAGCCTCATCCTCTTGCAACAAATGGCACGAGTCAGTGGGATGATCCACATTTGTGCAAATTCCACAGGCCTTTACTTGATGCATGTTTCCCACAGCTAATTGTCGAACAAAAAATGTTAGCTTTGATATCTACTGCTGAATAGATGTCGTCTCCACCTCATTAACCCTATGGGTAGAGTTACTCTCAAGGAAACCAAACTGTTGAGAATTTTCTGCCATAACTTCAATGAGTAGCCACGCTTTCCTTGGTGTCTTGTTCGCTAATGCTCCTCCACTTGCAGCATCAATGATACTCCTGTCGGTCGACTGGAGTCCCTCATTGAAATATTGGATCAATAGTTGCTCACTAATTTGATGCTGTGGGTATCTAGTACACAACTTATTGAACCTTTCCCAGTAATCATATAGAGACTCTCCAGGATCCTGCTTAATGCTGCATGTCTCTTTTCTTAGACTTGCAGTTCGGGATGCAAGGAAGAATTTTTTCAAAAATTTTTTCTTAAATTGGGCCCATGTGGTGATACTACCTGCAGGTAGGTAGTATAACCAATCCTTTGCTGCATCCTTAAGGGAGAAAGGAAATACCTTGAGTTTGATCTGCTCTTCAGTAATTTCTGGAAGCTTCATACTGAAGCATACCACATCGAACTCTTGGATGTATTTATGGGGCTCCTCACCTGAGAGGCCATGAAACGTGGGTAATAGGTGAATTAACCCCGACTTCAGTTCGAAAGAAGTATTTTCTGCTAGAACTGGAAATGTAATGCACAGAGATTGCTGGGGCAATTCCGGAGCAGCCAACTCTCTTAGTGTTCTTGCATTCACCATAGGGATATCCTCTTTGTCTTGGTCACTTGAACTATCACCATTTGAATCTGTTAATTCGATCTCTGGATCTAGTTCCTGAGAAGCTATGCTAGATTGCTCCTCTCTGAGTTGTCTAGTCTCTTTCCTAATTCGGCGCGCAGTCTTCTCTACCTCCGGATCGAAAATCAATTCACCTGTGCGAGAAGAACGAGGTATAAACTAGAAAAATGCCAGACAAACCCAAATAAAATAACTTAGAAAGAAACAAAATTAACCAAAACACCGCTCCCTGGCAACAACGCCAAAAATTAACAGGTGCCGAACCTGTACAATAATAATTACTAAAGAGTCCTAATTACCACCACAATTAATTATAGAATAAATCCAAGTACTGGAGCAGAGACCCTAGGTGTGCAATGGGTTATTTGATTTACCCTATTTCCGAAAAGTTGGCTTGATCCGATATACCAGATTTGTCTATAAAAAAATATTAATTTTGCGTACAATGGCAAGTAGGGTCTATTCCACAGGGAACGGGTAGGAAATTGTTTCTTTCCAAGTCAATAGAATAAAAATTGGAGGATGATTAATAGGATGGAAATGAAAATAAAACAAATAAAATTCAAAAGATAACTCCACAAGTACAACTTACTAAAAATAGCAATTAATAAAATTCTCCTCAAAAGATCAACTGTTCAGGCACGGTCCAATTAAATGATCATCGATGCAAAGATATTTCATTCATTCGTCACTAGATTGGTTATAACTATCAACAAGCTCTGACAGCTAATTCTTTCTTACCTTTTCGACAGTCAAGATACGATCATTAACTGCTTTTCTAACCAGAAAACAATCCTAGATCCGACCATAGAAATTTAATTATCCAATTGCATTAAAACTAGAAGAACCCAACCCTAACCAATAAACACGCTAAGAGAGTCTATTTAAACTAGATCTTACGTTTTCCCAACATAAACCCAATTATGGTGGTTGTCACTAGGTGTCAACTAAACGAACAATTATGGATTCAATTTAATTAACGTGACAGTAGGCTATCAAATTAAATTAAATACCCGGTCGTTGATATTCAATTAATAAAATACCCATGAATAATTAATCCAAGAAACGCACGAATAGTAACAAATTGGAAGAAATAATGAAAGTTTGATTAGACCTCACAAATGTTATGGACCGCGCCCTCGCGTCAACCTTTGGGTAGAGGAGAAAATTAGCCGCTCCTCATCGTGTCAATCCCGCGTGATTTAATTGAATTCATTCAATTAATTGCCGAAGAATTGGGGAAGGTGAATTAATTGAAGAAACAACAGAGAAGACCCGGACTTCACCTTCGTTTTGGAGCCGCAATTACAAAGCAAAAGTCTAACCAAAATTGTCCAGAGCAAGGGTTAAAAGTCAAAAGGAAAAAGACGTCTAGCCTATTCTAATTGCTACTGAAGAGAAGAAAAAAAAGGGAAAAAGCGTCTGACGGTACAAAAACAAAAGCTAGCCTAATTAATTTCTACCTAAAAGAAAGCAAACGTCTGATACTATAATTGAAAACCAAAGCCAATGTCCCTATTAGATGTGAATCTAGCCTTTTTATATCTTCAGTAGCCACCGCAGGAGAAGTCCACCCAAAAGTCCTCTTCAAAGCTTTTCTCTTTTGGGGTATTAATCCCATGTGTCTGGTCCACGTGGACCACTTTTGGTTTCCTGATGTTTCACTTGTTTTGCCAATCCCGCGGGTCCGGCTTTTAGGTGTAGCTCTTCAATTTCTAGAGTGGGCACGCCATGAAATAAAGAGTCTTCTGAAAATTTGCCTCGTGAAAGCACTTTTTACACCAATCACTTACAATTCATACAAATATGAAATATGAGCAATATCTCAATACTTAGCACAGTAAGTAGCCAAAATTAGGACAAAATAATAGTGTAAAATGTGCCAAATAATTGCTCTATCAGAGAACCAAGAAAGGAATGAGGGAGAAGGGGAGCAACAAGGGAGAAGTGCAGCATCCTCTTCCTCACAACTGGATCAAGGAATAAATATCCATGGTGAGTATTTAAAGTTTTGATAAGAAAAATCTGCATGAAATGATCTTAGTTATCATCTTACTTCTGATGAAGTGCATCAAGCATTAGACAGAAAACAATGAACAAGGATCCATCATCCATGTAATAGTCGAGTTATTCTCTCAAATCTAGCTTCTTTGATTCAACCCTTTCTTTAGATCTCCAACAGTAGAACTTCTTTACACATTAAATCCTTTTTTTTTTTTTTTTGGTTGGGCCTTTACACATTAAGTCCTGTGCAGAAAGGGTGAGAAAGTGCCGGTGTTGTGTTCAAATTCTTGCATTATCCTCAGGGTAATAAGCTTGTTATAAGTAAACCGGTCTCTGAATTGAATAATGGCCTAGTCATTGGAATCAGGAAATCAATGCAACAATTATTCTCTATTTGTTACTCTTCTGCATATTCCCCTTTCTCAGGCTGTTTATCACTCCTCTACAGCACATAAGATGTCTATTTGCTTTTTGTCCAAATAATAAATATTTTGTCTCACAATTTTGTTTGTCAGAGTAACATCTTGTCAGCCCGCAAAGATGGTGATTTCTGGCTCTGTTTGAACTGAGACGGTGTCCAGAAACCATGAGCAAAGTCTTTCTGATGCAGTACAGAAACTGCTTTCTGTATCTCCTTTAGCTGCTAAAGCCAACAGGCTGGGAGAATTTAATATTGCCTATCTGAGAAGCTGAATCTGAGAGGCCAGTGGAGGCCATGAAATAAGATACTTTTCTACCATTTGCTTCTTGTGCTGCTGGTTTCTTGTTTCTCTGTATGTGTCAAGCTTTCCTTGGTTGCTGTGTCCAAAGAGTTTGAATTTGTCACAAACTTGCAATTCTGTCTTCTTTTCTTGCTGTGAGGTCCAAAAACAAGTTTAATTACTATGGCCTAATGTACGCTGATGATACATCTTTATTGATCATTACCATCTTCTGAATGAAATTATCTTTAGGAGTTGGAACATCTATTGACGTGGATTTAGATAGAGATTAGAAATCACGCCTTACAAGTATTTAAAGCCAAAGGACATGGTTCACTCGTAATATCCAGAAGAGCGAATGAGCGATTGCAACAGTGTTCAAAAGGCGCAGAATTAGACACGGAACCTTTAAACACGCTTTATTGTGGTATAAAGCCAGTTAACGAAGGCGTAATTCTTCTAATGATGAAAAAAACCACGCCTTCAATAGCAACCATTCGCTGACCAATCTCCTCAACCCCCAATGGATACACCAAACGTCCCCTTCCCATTTGAAACCCCAATTAAACCCTTTGCCATTAAAACCCCATTATAATATCTCTATCTTCATGATCCGCCAGCCCAACACCTACGTGTGTAAACTCTAAAATTTTTGAATTAATTAATTGATCATTTCTACATTGTATTTGATTTTGGATATATCAGGTTTATTTATGTCTAATGTTAACTTGCCACAAGGGTTTGCAATGATAAATCCTGCGATTAATTAATGAAAAACATTAAAGTTTTACGAAATTGTCGAAAGAAGACTCCTTCAAATGCCAAGTCAAATACTAGTGGAGATGATAAGATAGCCTGTAATCTAGTGTAAATAAATAAAGTGTTATTGAAGATAGGTCTAAGACAACCCACACACACCGTATTTACTTCACCTTCGCCAGCTTATGGGCGTAATTTTTTTTTCTTTAATAAACAGCGATTTTAAATCCAAAATCTTCTACTTACAATCTATCTCACCTTATCGTCCAATCCAACCGCCCCTCTCAAGTGCGCAATATAACTTCACAAAATGTGTGAAAAACAATTCTACTCTGTCAAATAGCAATATTTTTGTTATTTTTATTTGGGGGTTATAATTGGGATCCTCCTCCGATCCCATGGACTTACCTTATAGGTGTACTTTTTCCGGTTTGAGCAAATGCTCACTTCTAGAGTTCCTCTTGCATTGCTGGGTTCTAAAAAGTATGGTTTGGATCACTAATCCGCATAAAGAAGAACATGAAGGTTGTTTAAATCCTCATGCAGAAAATTGAATGACTCAAACTTAAGTGTGAAGACAGAGCATCCAACTCACATTTTCATAATTTTCAGTTGCTGGTTAGCATAAAGTACCGCGAAAAGTAAGCATTTCAGATCATCAATTTGATAGAGATATTTTGAAGGAAATCAACAGGGAAAAAAAAAAGAGTAAAGCATTAGTAAACATCAAGCATAAGATTTATTTGGTACAAT